ACACATCCTCTACGGTTGCTGCAAGATATTAAACATAAATTTCTGGAGACAAGGAAAAGGGAACCAGGACGGAAAACAGTCGTCTACCCAAGGAGGGTGTTGTCGGGCTCCTCACCACCACGGCTGCACTAACCTCTTGTTTACACCAACACATCTGTTCCACCAACTGGGGCCTGAGGTCTTTGTGCCCTGTTTCCCGTCACAGCCCGCCTCTCCGCCTCTTACGTCCCACCATCTCAAGCTATTTATGGACAAATTTTATGCATGAGGTGATATCCCGTGGACGGAGGAGTCGCCCGCTACACTGAGGACCCTGGGGGTGGGACGCAGTTGACGGGTAGGGAAAACTGCCTCGTTACGGTGCTGCCGCTGTCCTCCACACCTGAGGCACGAGGAGGGGGAGGGTGGGTCGCCTGCCACACATCTTCTCCCTCCTCACCCTCCTCTCCACCTCTGTACCAAGCGTCATCCCGCCTCTCACTCGCTCTCCCCGCTCTTAAGGCCGGCTAGATATGTCGCCTCGTCGTCGTCACAGCTTAGAACCAACATGTGCTCTCAGAAGTAAATGGACAGACACGGGTTCTGAGAATTCCTTGCTGCAGTGTGATGCGTTCGTCAGTCTACTGTAGTTGACTGTCAACCCTTATACCTACCTTCACGCATGGACTCCCCATACATACATCAACATATCGATACATACAGAGTAATACATACAAACAGTATACACACAACACGTTCAAACACACACTTAAGTTATAATCAAAGGAATATGTAAATGAACGTCTCCAAACATGACTTACAAAGAGAAAGAATCCTTTATTATCCTTCAGACTGCCGCTCCCCGACAACCAATCCCCGGCCACTGAACAGAGCGAGTATAAACACTTGACTCCGGGGATTCAGAGAAGCACAACACTCTACCGGAACCATCCAGCCTTCTTGGCCATCGACTTTTATAGCACGCGATTCTATTTTATGGTATTCGGTCACATGTAAGTGATCCTCGCGCCACCTTGCTTTGAAATACACCCGCTCAATCACCTCCTTTATAGCTTCCCAATCACGGAGAATAATTACTTCTGAAGTGAAGTACGACATAAATGTTGTGAACGCTGGTAGTGTGAAAAACTCCGCGCCGCCTCGACAGTGTGGGAGTGGCCAGAGTTCCGCCATGTTCCTCTCTGGTGCCGACAGCAACCTCAAGTGGCGCGCCTCCTGTTAGGGTGTTGTTGAAGGCTGCACACAAACATGTCCTCACACACACACACACACACACACACACACACACACAAACACTATAGCAAGACACTACCACAGACAGCGCCACGTACTGTAAACATTGCCGATAACCGCATCACATACTTTTATCAAAACCACTACCACCACAAATACATAACAGCTTTAAAAACGCTGCCACAAACACCACAGTCTCCATCATATTCACTAACACACAACCACATCACATAAACTACCTCATCACATACGCTGCCACAAACACCACAGTCTCCATCACATACACTACACCACAACCACATCACAAACACTACCACAAACATCCCATAATCACATATCGACAATGACCATACAGTCCCCAGCACCACACGCCTTAGAATTTACAACCTCACCTCTCCTCTCAGCCCCGTGCACCCCCCCCCCCCCACACTGTATAGGTAACCACTAACCCCAAGAAAACACAGCTAATTTTGATACCCCTGCTTACACTTACACCCCTACCTACACTTGCACCCCCTACCTACACTTGCGGGGACACCCACATAAACTAGAAGCAGGAGCAAGGGCGGGGTGGGGGGAGGGGGTGGAGGGGAGACATTACTGTGTTATTATCACCACACACGAGAGAGCAGCCATCTTCTTCTCTGCCGGAGTTAGAATCAATAAGAAACTCCAAGATGTTCTTACCTCCCACACCCCTAACCTTCCCCCCCTCTCCCCACACCCCCATCCTCCCTCCCTTCTCCCCACATCCTTCCTCCCTCTTCCCACATTGCCATCCTTCCTCCCTCTCCTAACACCCCCATCCTTCCTCCCCTCTCCCCATACCCCGTCATTCCTCACCTCCCCACACCCCCACCTTCCTCCCTCCTCACCCCCACCCTTCCCCCCTCTCCTCCACACCCCCACCCTTCCTCCCCTCTCCCCACCCCCATCCTTCCTCCCCCTCCCCACCCTTCCTCCCTCCCCACACCCCACCCCCTTCCTCTCCCCACCCCCACCCTTCCTCCCCCTCCCCACACCCCACCCCTTCCTCCCCTCTCCCACACCCCACCTTCCTCCCTCTCCCACACCCCATCCCCTTCCTCCCCTCTCCCCACCCCCCACCCTTCCTCCCCCCTCTCCCACACCCCCATCCTTCCTCCTCCCTCCTCACACCCCCATCCTTCCTCCCCTCTCCCCACACCCCCCACCCTTCCTCCCTCTCCCCACACCCCACCCTTCCTCCCCTCTCCCCCACACCCCCACCCTTCCTCCCCTCTCCTCACACCCCCCACCCTTCCTCCCCTCTCCCCACCCCCACCTTCCTCCCTCTCCCCACCCCCCACCCTTCCTCCCCTCTCCCCACACCCCATCCTTCCTCCCCTCTCCCCCCCCCCCCATCCTCTCCCCACACCCCCCACCCTTCCTCCCTCTCCTCCACACCCCACCCTTCCTCCCCTCTCCCCTCCCATCATTACACACCCCCAACACCCCATCGTCAGGAGAGAGAAAGAGAGAAACACATAATCTCATCACCACTCAGGCCTTTGTCGGAGCCTCTTCCCGTCCAAACTCTCCCCCAGCTCTGCCTCTCTCCCACTCCTTCTGAGGTCTGTCTCTTTCATCTACCTCCCTTCACACCATCATTACACCACCACCACCACCACTACATCACCATCACTACGATACCACTACACTGCCACCATTACCACTACACTACCATGACCACTATACTACACTACCACTACTGCACCTACACCACCACTACACCTGCTTCACCACACCATCACCACTACACGTACAGAACCACCACCACTATATTTACACAACCACCATCACTACACATCACCACCACTACACCTCCAGCACCTCGCGGCTCGACCTCTCATGATATTCAAGATGTGTCAACACCTCCTCCTTACTCTCAGGCAGTTCCCCAGAGCCGTGTGAGTGAAGTTTCAAAAAGGTGTGTAAGTGTTCCAAAAAGCTCCGTCTGCCTCAGTTGAGTTTATTATGGGATGGAAGGGAAATGAAAAGGATATAGGAATAAGTATCAAACGACCTGATCTTCGGAGAATATAACAAGGTAAATATTGTCTCGTCTGAGAACACGTATGATGGATATAAGATCTTTTAACACAAAGGTAATGTTCACGGCACTTACACTCTTTACACATAACAGTGTTGTGCTCTTGACGTCATGTTTTAAAGACAGAGAAAGATCCGAACTAAAACTGTAGAACGAACACACAGTTACTGGTTAACACTGACACATCAAACACGTCAGCTGCTGGGAACCCCATAGAGCACCCAGGCTGTTACCTCGCGCACTATAGTACGTGGCGCAGCACACACGACTCAGCAGATACAGAAGGGGCGGGGGCGGGGGGGGGACTCCAATAATGGCCACGATCCAGAGTCGTAAAGTGAATATTCCTGTAACTTAAACTGAAGTTCAATAATTTCGTCGAAAAATTAAAACAACCAAATTACAATTATACTTCATCATGTCCCACATACATTCACTTCACACCAGCCAGTGGATAAGGTTTTGTTACATCTTTATGAACAGTGTTTTTGTACTAAGGTGAACCAGTCAGGTGTATTCTTACACCTTTAGTTACAAGTAATAATCATGGTACACACCTGAGTCGTAACACTATCTCTGGGATGGTTAGTGTGTGTTAGAGTGAAAGAAGTACAGTGTATATAGACTAATAATTCTAAAGCTTAAAAATATGATTTCAATCCCCAAAATGAAATATTACCCTGTACTGTGTTTCAATCACTGAATTATATTAAAATTACTGCAGTGATTCATGTAATGAGCTCATATTAACGACACAATCTCTGGTCTCCGACAATAATTTGTTAATACGAAAAATACCATTTGAAACATCGTCCAATGGTTGACTTATAATTATAGTAGTAGTAGTAGGACTTCAAACACATCCAACAAAGCCCGTGTTGACGTCAATGCTCGAGGATTCTGGACGTGGGGACAGCGAGCCTTCTTTGACATCAGGATTTTTGATCACATGGCCGCATGTCACCGTAACTTAGCTCTCGATGCTGCACACAGCAGGAACGAGAACGACAAGATAAGGGAATACGGGGAGAGAATTCAGAACGTTGATCAAGGCAGTTTCACTCCTCTAGCATTCACAACTTCTGGTGGGATGGGACCAGTGCAAGATGCTTCTACGCCAGACTCGCGGAGGTGATATCCAAACAGAAGCAGAAAGCCCAGAAGTTATGTTACAGCCTGGATGAGATGTCGACTGTCCTTCTCTCTATGAGATGTCGACTGTTCTTCTGTCTCCTTCGGTCGGCTTGCTCTGCCTTAGGGGAACGAGAGCATCGGCCCCAAAGCCGACAACAGTTGCAGATATTGACTATGAGGCAACAGTCACTGAATGCCGCATATATCTGCGGCTCAACTAACTCAACACAGCTAGGGTAGCTACTTATGTATTAGGATATTTAATATTAAGGTAATAAAATGGTGGCGAAGGTATGGCTGGAGGCCATTTAAAATAAAAGAAATAAGTACTAGTAGTAGTAGTAGTAGTAGTAGTAGTAGTAGTAGTAGTAATAATAATAATAATAAAAATAAGTTGTAGTAGTAGTAGTAGTAGTAATAATAATAATAATAATAATAATAATAATAATAATAATAATAATAATAATAATAATAATTACAGTAGCGTTAAAAAATACCTAAGAATAAGCACATTAGTGTTTCAGTACAATTACACGTGGACAGTGAGGCAGGAGTGACTCACCTTGCTAGTGACTACCACTGGAGGACTGACGGCACATGCGTCTCCGCCTGTCGAGTAGAAATTAATATTATTAGCACCTGTGATACTACTGTGCCAACATCAATAGCATGTCCAATATAAACACTCAGCTTAGCCTCATAACATTACTACAAGTACAGTATATGGCAGAAACGTGTCGTTCAACAAGACACGTGTCAGGGAACAAAGGCGTGTCTGATATTACAAGCGTGACCACTAATGCCACTGTCAAATATCCAATAACACAAGCGTGACCACAAACACAAGTATATCCGCTAACAATAGCGTGACCAACTAAGAGTGCTACACAACAACACTTATTAAATTGTCACAGAATGTAATGGTTTGTCACGGCTGATTATTTTAACAGTTAATATAACAGTTGTTGAACTTGTTACAGCTCAACCTGTTCTATTTCTCTTTATACATGATTCAAAAATTGAACGTGGATAATGCGCGTAAAAATGGATGTATCAGTGAAGCAGCTTTCGCTTAAACAACACACACAACAAACTGACGCTATACCAGGTCCTGATACCATAAATACATACCAATCGCAATACCAAACCAAGTGCTAGTGAAATCACTACAATAAACTCTAAAGTACAAGACTATCAAGATATTAAATATTAAGTTATTATGTTTTAAATTTCATGGGTTAAAATGAGGAAACTGCAGCGGGCCTATTGGCCCATAAGAACATAAAAACATAAGAAAATAAAAGTCTGGAATAGGCCGGTTGACCTGTGCAAGGCAGCACCCATTTACACCCAACCCCTAGTGTGTGTGTGTGTGTGTGTACGCGCACACCACACAATGACAACATGACGAACATTAATATAACTAAATATATCTGGTTAGGTTATCTGAGGTTGGTTCTATCCCAACCTGAGTGAAACACTTATTCCGCTGACCAAAATTTTCAGCCCTTTCTACATAACCTGACTGTAATGTGTTCATAAGCACAAGGATCAAGAGATGATATGAATCATAAATTATACAGTACTATAGTATGCAGGGTTATCAGGGAGGGCTACAGTCTGGACAGTTACACCAGGACTCGTAGTAAAGAAAACTTGCTCCTGTACCATCATTGTTTCGTTGAATCGATCATGGTGCACATTTTCTTTGAGACCATTTTCTCTTTAACGCCTCGCTGCCCCCAACACTAACACCACCACCTGTATTTTTCATTTCTCTGTCTGGCCACACGTCATCACCTCATACCCAACCTCAACTACATACAGTGCGTGTGTATATATATATATATATATATATATATATATATATATATATATATATATATATATATATATATATATATATATATATATATTCTCAGATGCTGCTACGGCGTCCACATTGATTTATACAGCCAAAACAAGGGCAGATATGGTGAGGTCTCGTATTGCACTCTGGTGGGCGGCGGGGAAAAAATATAAAACTAATTTAGGTTCGTATGGCAAACTTTGTCGGCAACCTTCGTGCCAAATTAATGCAGTACATTAAACCCCTCAGAACCCTTGTTGGCAAGGGCTATGGAAGTAACATCACCTATGCTCGTACTTTCTATCTTCACTTCATTCGTTCTGTAGTTGACTATCATACTCTCCCTCTTATGACTATTCCGCCTAAACAACTCAACAGCCATGAGGTAGTGCGATGAAGCCATGAGCATCATCCTAGGATGCCCAAAATCAACCAGAATTGTAAACATGAGGAAAGCGCTCGGACTGCCCTCCCTATCTGAGAGGATAGCTCTACTTAATACCATGTTTTGTGTCAAAGTTTTGAAGAACAGTGGTTCCCAAACTACAGCTCAAACCGAGTTGGTGTTCTATCTAAGTAATCCCGACTATCTCGCTAACCTTCCACAAAAGACTCTCTTTGGGGCGTGGCTTCACGAAAGTGTTGCAGATCTCTTGAAACTGAATGTCCCAATCACCCCAGACGAACCCATTAATGCCTTTCCTCCTTGGCTGGATATATCAGTTCCTATTAGTTACACTCCTGTTGGTAGTAAGCAAATGTTAAACACCGATGTGATGAGATGTGTCACACTAGAAACTATTAACAGACACATAGAGAGTATTAAATCAAGTGACTGTTATGCTTTTACTGGTGGTTCTGTGCAGACAAACACAGGTAGAACAGGCTGTGCTATTGTAACATATAAAGAAAAAGAGATGATAGGGTCAAACAAGCAAAGGCTGAACAACTGGGCCAGCACAACACAAACTGACCTAACTAGAATCTACTTAGCCACAGACTACCATAAAGAAAATGGAGGTGGGGTGATATTCTGTGACTCTCAAAGTGCTTTGAAATCAATGAACAGCCCGTCAGGTTCTATGTCTAAAGTTGTATGTGATATTAAAAGGAATGTGATAACTGCCAATGAGAACAACTTTCGTATCGAATTTGTGTGGATCCCGTCACATGTTGGAATCAGGTATCATGACCGTGCTGATAGACTGGCCAATGAGGCAAGTAAGAAGGAAAATGTTGACCGTAATTAAAAACATTCAAGTCAGAATCATGACCTCAGATCTAGAAGAAGTGAGAAATGCAGAGAGACCTGGCAGTTGTAGCATTAGTAAATATGAACAATTTTGTGACAAGAGGTACCGGTATGGCCAGCATAAGGATAGAACCAGAAAATGTGACGTAGTCGTGGCCAGAATTAGGCTAGGATACAGACACATCTGGCAGGTTAGTAATGCTGTACCCATACCGGAACACTCAGCATGTAAACTTTGTGATAAGCCTTTAAAGCATACAGTTGAACACTATATTATTGAATGTGACACTGTCAAAGACTTCAGGCCACCTGACTTATTGTATCTTGAACTTTGTAATTACTACATTGAATCGGGGGTGCTTGAGGACATTCTTGCTGTTTATCCCAAATTTGCTAGCCCACACTGATTAGTCTTCAGTTAAAATATGACGTCCAATGTATGTGAACCACTGAGCTATATATACTGCTAATGAATATGATGTATTTCTTTCTTTCTTTGTGTACGAACCTCTGTCCTGCATGGCAGTGAACAGTGACATTACCCACATGAATCTGACCTCTATACATATATAGCTGTTAATGAATATGATGTATTTCTTTGTGTATGAACCTCTGTCCTGCGTGGCAGTGAGAAGTGATACCACCCTCAGTGTCAAGACCTGACTGAATTACTCAGAATAGGCAAACTGTACTACAAGCTTTGCCAATAAATTTGTTAAACTAAAAACCATCTCATCCATTCATCCTATCTCTCATCTCTCACTCACCCAATCCTCTCACCACCTCTCTCCATCATTCTACTCTCTCAATGTTCTTTTATGACCTCATCCTCTCACTCTGACCTCACCCTTTCGCCCTGAACTCACCCTCCCACCCTGACTTCACCCTCTCACCCTGAACTCACCCCCACCCTGACCTCACTGACTTTACCCTCCCACCCTGACCTCACCCTCTCTCCCTGAACTTACCCTTCCACCCTGACCTCACCCTCTCACCCTGAACTCACCCCCGCCCTGACCTCACCCTCTCACCCTGACCACACCCTCTCACCCTGAAATCACCCTCCCACCTCCCACCTCACCCTACCACCCTGACCTCACGTCCCACCCTGACCTCACCCTTCCACCCTGACCTTACCCTTCCACCCTAGCGTATGCGGTTCCCAAAGACAATATTAGGAAGGAAGTGTTTATTGAGTTATACCTGGAGAGCGGGGGGGGGGCAGTTGTATATGAGACAAGATGTTAGACTGACAGCTCTCATCTTTCTCTCACATACACACACACACACACACACACACACACACACACACACACACAAACACACAGTATATAGTTTATAACATACCAATATGGCCTGCTATCCCCAAAGGTCTGAATACACACATTACCGTATATAAGATATGGTAACCTATGCCCTCGTGAGGCAGAATCGCTACTTCTCAGCTACCTAGAGTTTAAAATAACTGGTAAATACATTATATTATGAAATGAAATATAAGGACAGTATTCCGGTTGTTTCCAGCAGTGCTAGTATAAGGTTCTTGGTGTAAGGGCTGCTGGCCCCCGTGAGATACACGGTGCCCTACAAGGACGATTCGATATTCGATTTATAACTGAATAAGCCTAGTCTCTTTAGTATTGGGTAGCTAAGTAGTAGCGATATTGCCTCCCGTGTCGAGGACAGAGGTTCTGTTCCTGTTGGTCGAGGTAAGTATTTTATATTATGTTATATGGGTGTGTTCGGGTGTCAATACCTCGGAATTCGGAAAAAATTGGAATGTCGAGCTTCCTCTTGGACGATCATCACCTCATGTTAACCATGTCGTTCGTCTGGCCCGGCTTTGGAAACCTTAAGACAACCAGGACAATACCGAGTGGTGCAGCAAATTTGTTTACTATAATGATGAGCCACACAGCAACGGGTTGTGAGGAAAAGTAACAGTTGAAGGTCCCGCCGGGAAGTAAACACTCGAGTATCACTGACAAACTGATAATGATTGTGACGGTGTGGCCTGTGACGTGATCAGAGACGGTGTGGCCTGTGATGTGACCTGTGATGGTGTGGCCTGTGACGGTGTGGAGACAACCACATAATCTTCACAAAACACAATGTGTGTCAGTGGGCAGATGCTTCCTCTGTCAACAATATTCAAGGAACAGAAGTCCAAACAGCGCCAAAGGTAAAGATTGGGTTAACCCTTAAGTTTTAACTGTATAGCGTAAAATTCTCATCTCATATGCATATGTTAACCTAACATGTTAAAATGTACACTTTTGTACTTTTAGGATAATTACTCAAATTTATCACAAAATCGTATTTTTGAATCCGCTTCCCCTCAAACAGTCCAACTTGACACATTTGAGAAATTAATTTGAATTGTCCCGTGAACAGCAACTAGTTTATTGTACACCCTATACTCATCCTGTGAGCGGTAGCATGAGAGCCATCAGTAACCCGGTTATTCACCGCCCCACATCTCGTGTCACACTTGAACACAGATTGGGG